TATATATATATATATTAATATATACCATTCGTTGGAACGGTTGCTTCTCTTGTTGTTTGTGTGTTTAGTTTCTCCGAGGCGGAGTGAGTGTGTGTGTGTGTGTGTCATTTCCCCTTTTCTTGTCGTTCCCCTTGTTTCCTGTTGTATTTGATACGAGCCCGTGCGTTCAACAAGAGCGGGACTGAGGCATGCAGCACAAGAACAACCTCCGTCTTCAACCGCTGTCGAACGACACGGAGGGTGCGCCTGGATCTTCACTGCAGGCCATCAAGTTGCAGCAAAAGGCGCGAGAGGAGGATGAGCGGGTCCGTCTGAAGCGAGTGAAGGGGGCCCTTGTGCTTATTCTGCAGTTCCTACTTGATCAGGGTTACACAGGTGCTCTTCAGATGCTGCAGCAAGAGAGCCGTGTGGCGCTGCAGCAGTTCTGCCCGGCAGACAACATAGATCTTCTTGCGATCATCGCAGAGTACGAGCAATACTTTGAGTTCCGCTTCAACCGGCGACCGAAACTCTTCCGCGTCGTGGACGGCGGGCAGGACGTCACGACTGAAGTGCAGAGCGGTGAGTGCATGGCTGTGCGGCGGCGGCCTAACGGCTCCGCCGGCGCACGCCAGAGGCGGCTGCCGGGAAACGTCAATTTAAGCAAGGTAAACTACGCCAATGCCGCAAACTTAGGTGGAGACGCACCGCCCAACAACGTGCAGGAGACGCAGCGACCGCCCGGGGCATCGCCGGGACTCGCGCGTGGGTTAGCGCTAGCGCAGAAGCCGAGCACACCGCCCTCACCGCAGCGTCTGCGGCCCCCCAAGAAGAAGCCAGTGGGCACTGATGTTGGGGGAATGATGGGCGTAGCGGGACTCCGCCTCGATGTGGTAGACCCACGCAGCCCTGATGTTGTGCGTGACGGTGCTGCTGCTGCGGGGGCGGCTAATGATGAAGATGTCTTTTTCGGACGGGGACTGAAGCCACTGCCACGCTTTCCTTCGTTGGAGCTGCAGGATCTGGCTATGACGATACAACGCGATATTCTTGACGTTAACCCCAACGTGCGGTGGAGCTCCATCGCGGCGCTGGACCAGGCGAAGCAGCTGCTGAAGGAGGCAGTGGTGATGCCCGTCAAGTACCCGGAGCTCTTTGCTGGTATTGTGCGACCGTGGAAAGGTATTCTGCTCTTCGGCCCACCCGGTACCGGTAAGACGCTCCTCGCAAAGGCGGTGGCAACAGAGTGTCGCACAACGTTCTTCAACATTTCCGCCTCTAGTGTTGTTTCAAAGTGGCGCGGCGATAGTGAAAAACTTGTGCGGTTGCTTTTTGATCTAGCCGTGCATTACGCACCTAGTACCATTTTCATTGACGAGATTGACTCTCTCATGTCATCGCGCTCTGGTGATGGCATGCACGAGGGGTCACGCCGTATGAAAACGGAGCTGCTGATACAAATGGACGGCCTCTCCAAACGACAGGGTGGCGAGGTCGTTTTTGTTCTGGCTGCAAGCAACGTGCCGTGGGACCTCGACACGGCAATGCTGCGCCGACTGGAGAAGCGCATTCTCGTTGGTCTGCCTACGCACGAAGCGCGGGCGATTATGTTCCGTCAGACTCTCACTCCTGCTGCTGCACCAGACCTGGACTGGAACATCTGCGCTAATATAACGGATGGCATGTCTGGAGCCGATATTGACGTGGTCTGTCGTGAGGCGATGATGCGACCGATACGGCTCATGATAGAAAAACTTGAGCACGCTGGTCACCCGAGTGAATTGACCAAAGGGGCACTGAGACGACCGCTCGTGACGCTCAACGACGTGCGCGCGAGCGTGGCATGCACACAAAGTACTGTGCGACAAGCTGAATTGGACAAGTACGATCAATGGGTGCAGAAGTATGGGTCTGGTGTTTCCTCCTAATTGTATCTCCTATTGTTCGTGTTGGTGGGGTGGGGTGGGGTGGGGTGAGGTTAGTGTTACTGTGTGGTGGTCGCTCTGCCAGTCTCTGTCCGTTGTTGGTGGTGCATTTATCTATCCATCTATCTATCCATATATATATATATATATATGGATAGATGGATAGGTATATATGCACACAATAATAGACCTAATAATCGTCAAATATTTTACTCTTGTGGAAAGTGGAATGGAAAATGTCAGATTGCTGCAGCTGTATGCAAAGTGGCGCTCCCACAAGGAGGAAAAAGAAGGATATGAATGAGAGATGACTCTGTGTGGGGGGTGTATGGCACAGTGTACTGATGTTTCTTGTTTATTGGCTTTTCGTCGTTTTTTTTTTTTCTTTTTTGCAATGTGTGTGTGTGCGTCATACGCGTTGGATGTGTGAAGTGATGTTGTCGTGTTCCTTGCACATCGCTGTTTGTTGTCTCGTCAATCATGTATCGCCCACGCCTCATTGGTGGGCTGCTGATGCTGATGCATTCCTGCGAGCGCGCACACACATCTATTCTCTCTCTCTCTCATTCCCTCCCTTCGTTTCTGGAAAAATCCTCGCCGCATCCATACATATCTGTATGCATATAGGCGGGCAACCACAAGGAAACGGCAGCGAACAGAGAAAGCAGAAGGGGGAGGGGCATTCTTTTTTTTTTTTCTTCATTTTTCTGGCTTAGCACGTCCGCCTGGTTTCCCTTCCGGTCATTGCCTGTTTGTTTCCTTGGCGTACGTTCAAGGTGCTGCATCCTCGGCGGGGCGTAGGTGAGATAACACACAAAAGCAGTAGGCCGAAGCGGAGAGTAACTGGCACGCACGCACACGCACAGAGAGAGAGAGAGAGAGAGTGAGTCTGAGAGAGGGAGAGAAAAGAAGACCGGCTATCCAGAGAGCAAAAAGGGACTGCTGCGATGGGTAGCGTGCGGGAACGTGTGCCTGTTGCCATCCTAGACGCGGGCTCGCATCGGCTGCGTGCCGGCTACGCGGACGAGGAGGGGCCGCGCCTCGACATCCCTGCCCTCGTTGGTCAGCCGCGCAACCGCGGCGTCGCGATGGCGGCGGGAATGAACGAGTACGAGACGGGTGAGGAGGCTCTGGTGAAGCGCGGCATGCTAACGGTTGGCAGCCCCATCAAGGACGGTCTCGTTGTGAACTGGGAGAACATGGAGAAGCTGTGGGGGCACGTCATGTTCTCAGAGTTGCGCGTAACCCCGGAGAGTCACTGCTTCGTCGTGCCGCAGCCAGTGAACACGCCGGCCGCACAGAAGGAGAAGACGCTGGAGCTCATGATGGAAACGTTCCACGTGCACTCGCTGTTTCTAGGTACATCCCAGGTGCTCAGCCTGTATGGCTACGGCCTCACAACAGGGCTCGTGCTCGACAGTGGCAAGGATCGCACTGTGGCGGTGCCGGTGCATGAAGGCTACGCTCTCGGTCGGCACGTGACCCAGAGCGGGGTTGCAGGTGACACATTGACGGAGTATTTTGCATCACTGTTGCGGCAAGAGGGCTACAGCTTCGGCACGCCGGTCGAGATGCAGGTATTGAACAGCGCCAAGGAAGAGCTGTGCTACGTGAAGCCAGTTGACTTTATGTTGGGTGGCTATACACAGGGTTCCAGGCAGCTTGAGGGGTCCACGGGATACCAATACAACTTCTCCATCAGTGGTCACCGCACATCCACAGAGGAGGCAGGAGAAGAGATCTTCTTACTCCCTGACGGCAACGCCATTCCAGTAGCAGAGCACCGCCACTTAACCACCGAAATTCTCTTCAACTTTGGAATTCTTGGTGAGCAATACGTTCCCAAGTCACGCTACATGACGGAGCTGGGAGAAATATTTCAGCCGTCCTTCCCTATGGGCATTAGCTGGTTGCCGTTTTCGGCTATTAACAACTGCCAGCCGGCGATGCGTGCGCCACTCTTTGCAAACATTGTTCTTGCTGGTGGAAACGTGTCTTTCCCTGGCACTAGGGAACGAATTGAGGCGGAGGTGACGCAGTTGTATAGAGAAACGCACACCAGCGAGGCCGTGACGCCGATTCGTGTGTATGATGTAGGATGTCGTGTGTACAGTGCGTGGCTTGGCGGGTCGATGCTCGCACGCACCTCCATGTTCCCTCACTTGACAGTCTCGCGGCAGGAGTACGAAGAGCAGGGCCATCGTGTGGTGCACTGCAAGTGCCAGTAGATCAGCCTAGCTGATACACATGCAGGCATGCATACTCACACAAACAGAGAGACACACACACACGGTGTCACTCTCTTTCTCTCTGTTTATGCGGCATAGGGCGCGTCAGTGGAGGTGGTTGGTGGGAATGGCTGCTGTTTCTCCACACTCCCCCAACGAAATGTACCAAAAAGAAAATGCACATAAGAAATGATGCAAAGAGGAAAGGAAAGCAAAAAAAAGTCGAGGCAACAAGCGGTTGCGAAAACTCTGAAAACCCAGAGCAAACGAAGAAAAAAACGCGTGATGATGAACTGTGCGCTTATTATATTCGTTCCTGGTCCCCTCCTCCCTTTGTTTCCTCGTTTCTCGTGTGATTCCTGTTTCGTAGAGTTCCCCTACCCCGGTGCAAATCACCGCTCATGTCTGCGGATGCCACCACCGGCATACGCTCCGGACTGTTCGGCACGGAGGGATTAGCGCAAGGGCCGCCTTCTGGCTTCGAGAAGATAACGGAGGGAACTGCCGCCGTCCTGTTCCCGCCAGCCGCTTTCAAGGGCGCCTGCGTGAAGGAACAGCGGCAGCAGCAGCTGTATGACGCGGAGGAGGACGATGGTCAAGCCGTCTTCTACAATCCAGCGCAAGTGGTCAATCGGGACTTGAGTGTGTGCGCGCTGGCGTGTTTCGCGCGCCTTCGCCGTGACGAGCCGTGTCGAAAGGGCGGTACGCGTCAAGGCATCACAATTCTTGAGGCGCTGAGTGCCACGGGGTTGCGTGCCATACGCTATTACAAGGAAGTCCCTGGCATTCGCTACATTATCGCTAATGACCTTGACGTGGATGCCGTCGCGTGTATCCGTCGCAACTGCGAGTTCAACGCGGTGCCGTGCGTCAAGCCGACGATGGCGGAGAACTTCCCGTCGGCGCAAATTCGCGTGGATGAGGCCACGGGGGCCATTCTGAGTGGCGGCGCGGTGGTGCCGAACTTGGACGACGCGAATGATTTGATGTTCCGCCTCGCTACAAACCCTGCCGTGTATTCGGGACGGCGTATCTGCGTTGCGGCAAACAGCTGTAGCAACAACGAAAACAGCAACCCAGACATTGAACCGTTGCTGCAACAAGAGCTGATGGATGTTGTGGACCTTGACCCATACGGCTCCGCCTCCCCATTCCTGGACGCAGCGATGCGGTGTATTAAGGAGGGCGGGCTGATGCTCGTGACGAGCACTGACAGCGCCATTCTGTGCGGCAACTACCCCGACACGTGTCACGCCAAATATAACACGGTGCCAACGAAAAACGCCGCGTGTCACGAAATGGCTGTGCGGATTCTCCTCGCCTCTATGGAGCGTGTGGCGAACAAACACCGCAAATATATTGTGCCGCTGCTTTCCTTGCACATTGACTTCTACGTTCGGTGTTTTGTTCGCGTCTACACGCAGCCGGCGGAGGTGAAGCTGAGCCCCTGCAAGCTGGGGTATCTTCTTCAGTGCAGTAACTGTCCTGGGTACTGGGTCCGTCCCATGGCTGTTGCACGCATGCGTGGGAAGAAACGTGGAAGGGCAGAGGGTCCAATGCCCAATACCGCTACCACCACAACACCCACAACCGTCAGCAGCAACAGCAACAACAATAATAACAAGAATGATACGAACGAAATGGATGAAACGAAGGCAGCATGTAAAGCTGATGCTTTGGGGCGGGAGCGTTTCCCAGTGGCCCCCTCACGGCAGGATAACCCAAAGGTAACGTGCTGCAGCCTGCAGCAGATGCTATCGGCTGTAGACGCGCGGTGTTGCAGTGTTTGTGGGGCCTTCGTGACGCTGTCTGGGCCCATCTATGCGGCGCCGACACAAAATGTGCCGTTCCTCACACACCTGCTTCAGGAGATCGAGCAGCGTGGCGCAGCAAAGCAGATCACGGCAGAGGCACGTGTGACCGGCCTGGTACGCGTGGCGATGGAAGAACTCCCAGACACTCCGCTCTTCTTCCAGCTTCCCGACATCGCCTCCTTCGTGCGAGTGCGTTGCCCACCCACCCCATTCTTCGTTGGGGCGCTGGGGCGATTGGGATACCGCTGCAGCCAGGTACACTGTGCCCCGTCGGGCATCAAGACCGACTGCCCACCGGATGTTCTCACCAGTGTGATGCTACAATGGAAGCAGGAGCAGAAGANACAAGACGCAAAGGAGAGTGGCAGCAACGATGCAGAGAATGCGGCACCCGGGAAAAATGCTACTAATGATGATATTGCTACTACTGGGGAGGGCGGTGACGGTGAGAAATTAAAGAAGGAGAGGCGGGGAGGTGTTGCGCGTGCACCGTTGGTGTCCGCATTGGCGGAGGCGGACTTTACGTACGACAGAAAGTACGACTTCCGCGGTGCTGTGACGGGCGTGGCGAAGTTCATCCCAAATGCCCCCAACTGGGGACCCAAACGGCGGCACCAAGGCGCCTCACATGACGACGCACAACCGTAATTAGGGGAGTGGAAGACGTCATATGGGAAATAAAGGAGGAGGAGGAGGAGGAAGGCAGAGGGAGTTACATTTCCCTGTGAGATAAAAGCAGCGTGTAATTATGTGCGGCGTGAGACCCACTTCTCTGGGGAAAGAGGGGTGTTGCCTATTATAATCGCTGGGATGGTTGATTGCTGCTTTTCATGATGATGATGATGATGATGATCTTGGTTTTCTATTGCCTTGCACCTTCTCATACACCCGTGTGCTTTTGCTTCTCTGTTTTGCGTACCCTAAAAGGAAAGAGTGCCCAAAACCTCTTGAAGTGTGAGTCTCACAGGTGAGACAAGGCGCACTTCTCCCCCTCCCCTCACCTCCGCGCGATGTTCCGCCACTCTGCGGCGTGGCGCAACATCTTCGACGCGTGTTACGTACTCAACCTCGACCGCCGCACTGACCGCTGGGCGCATGTTCAGCGGCAGATCTCCCGCGCCAAGCTGGCCTCCTTCCTGCGTCCGCCGGCAAAGATTACGCGTGTCAGTGGTGTGGATGGAAGCACGCTCGACGTGGAAGCGTTGCACCAGGGCGGCCTCATAACGGACCTCGGGTACAGTAGATTTCTGCTCCCGAATGAGGAGAAGCTCTTCGGGATGGACCTGACACGTGGTGCGATTGGATGCGCGCTTGGGCACCGCAAGATTTGGGAGACCGTTGCTGCCGAGCGCCATGCGTGTGCGCTCGTGCTGGAGGACGATGTGGAGTTCCACCACAAGTTCAGCAAGCTACTGCCGCCGCTGTGGGCAAAGGTGCCGCCTGACTGGGACCTCGTGCATCTCGGCGGGCTCGACCTCCTCGCCAGCGGCAAGCCGCCACGTCCGTTCGTTGATGATGGCATTCGCCTCGCGTATCAGGGGCACCGCGAGCTTACCGCGTATGTGATTCACCACACGTCGGCGCAGCGCTGCCTCGAGCTGTCCGCACCAATGACATGGCAGGTGGACACGCATATCAGTAGCAACTTCAAGGATGACCTGGCGGCGCAGGATAAGTACATTGCAGACCCCAAGACGTATGTGTTCCAGCCGTCCCTGGTGATACAGATCACGTCGATGGGAACCGATGTGCAGAAGCGGCCTTCCGACAATCCGCAGCTTGAAGATGCTGCGCGGCGTATGCGTGAGTTTGTTGGTGGCGGAACCTCAGTGCGTTGATTTCCCACCGATGTTGCCTTTCTTAATGAAGATAAGGGTGGGTGATACGCTTCTGTTCTGTTTGCTGCTGCTTCTGTACGTTAGGATTTGGTGGTGATAAATGAGGTATGGAGGAGGAAAAGAATGAGGAGCAGATGGCACAACGCAGAGGTCGCACCATTAGTTGGGGCACAAGAAGGGTGGGTGGGAAGGCCCACCAAATCAGTCAGTTGTGTGTATTTTCTTTGGTCTTGTGGTGGGGTTGCCCTTCACAGGTTGTCATCACTCCGGAGGCTACACTCTTTCCTTTTGTTTATGAGAAAGTTGCCTGTTTTCCTTTGTTTTTTGTTTATTTTCTTTCCATTGTGAACCCGCATGTGCCGTTAATGGCTTTCAAGGGGAAATACGAGAAAGGTAACGGGTGTAACACAGACGCGGCGTTTACTATATCCCCCCCCTCCTATATTTGCATTGATCGATGAGCGAAAACCCTGTGGATTACGGGGCCGTGCTGTCGCCACATGGCAGACTCAGCACGCGCGACCGCGACCGCGACCGCGACAGCTCCGTCAACTCCTTTCGGGCGTCTATTGGCATCGTCTCGCTCAGCGTCACGCCGCCGAAGACCGCGCGGGCGCCTTGCAGCATTAGCTCCAGTCTCGTCCAGGCATCGCCAACGCCGAAGCAGAAGCAGACGGTGCAACACCGCATGCCAGAGATGCCCGGCGATCCGCTTCTCAACCGCGTGCAGTTCCACTACCCGATGAAGCCGCGTGGGCAGCCGTGCACGAAGGCCCTGCTGGCGGTGCGGCGGCCCACCGCGAGTGGCGGCGAGGAACAGCAGCTCGACGGCGTGGAGGCCTCCGTTGTGGCGGTGCAACGGGAAATGGTAGGCATGTTAACCAGACACCTTCCAGAGATCAGTGAGGGGCCGGCATTCTCCAAGATGCTCCCGTCTGAGTCGTCCATGGCGGTGAAGGGTCCGTTGTTGGATGACCGCATCACACCACAAACACTGCACGCGTTGTTGAACAAAGGCCGCACCATCGCATCCAAGATTGTCGCACAGGATAAAAGTAAGCGACGCCACGTGGAAGAGGAGAAACCGGTATCGAGTCACGTGGTAGACAGTCTGCGCACCCAAGTGGATCGGCTTGAGCCGCCCTACGTTGATCACATGCTGCAAGCAAAAGCCTACAAGAAGACGCAAAATGGGGACGGAACCTTGCAGCGCGAGGTACTCCCCATAACAGCATCTGGGGCAGGTCCAAAACATGAGCCATGGCAGGCAGAACAGGTGTATCACTCGCACCTCATCGCGCCACCGCCTTCGCGACTTTCTGTGTCTAGGTCACCCGTACAACACGCGGAAGAGCAGCTGCAGCGCCACTTGTCTGTGCTTTCCTCCTCAACGGCATCCTCCATGGGTGATGAAGCGACATCCCTCAAGTTTATGCTGACACGCTCCACCAGTGTTGGTGACGACGCTGCTATCATTGATCAAGTTGTCGCCTACGCAGCGTCGCGGCGGCGTCCTGAAATCGGCGACGGTGAAAGGGACGCAAAAACGGATAACAGTTCAGGCATCCCATCATTCCACCCTTCGTACAACCCTGTATTCTCGGTGCTCGACGCTGTGCTTTCGGTGAGTAAGGAGTTTGAAAAGGTGCAGCAGACTTGGCCAGGCAGCGGTGCCGCTCAGATTAGCGCCTCACGCCATGCTATCATTGATCGTCTCGTGTCGCTAGGGTCGTCACGCATTCCGCGCGATCTGTGGGTGACGATTCACAGTCCCACCTTCCCTGGATCTAGGCAGCACCACCAGCAGGAAGAACTGGCAGGCCGCATTCCAGCCAAGACCTCCCTCTTGTTTCCAGCAGTGAAAGCGACGGGCCGGGCGCAGGTGTACCTACTCGCTGACACACTTGACCGTATGCTGCAGGAAATACCTGACGCGCTCGCTGTGTTGGCTGACAAGGAAATTGCACAGCGCCTGCTGCCCAAGGCACCTGAGAAGAATACCTCATCGTACATGAGCAACGCGGATGTAGAGCGGCTCATTGACCCATTAGCCATGAAGAGCTCTGACAACGCACACCTACAGTACGTGGAGACGGCAAAGCAGGTGATGGAGATCGTGGACGCAGGCCTTGTCGAGATTGTGCGGCAGGTGTCTGGCCTATGTGCCGAGAGGGGTGCGCTTCTCGATGCTCTTCGCCTTGTCGTTGGTGATGTTCTCTCAAGCTCTCTGTGGCTTGTTGGATACTGCAAGGATCAGGCCCGCCACGAGGCGGAGACACGTCGTGACCTCATCGCCGCCTCTCGCCGCGACGTGGAGGAGGCCATCATGCTACGGGAGGAGCTGCGTAAGGGGAGACAAGAGGTAGCGGCGCTGCAGCAGGCCAACGGCGAGCTGGAAGGGAAAGCCTCAAAGTACGACACCCTCATGGAGAGGTTGCAGCTGAAGGACAAAAATTTCTCTAAGCACCCGCCGGACCAGCACCTGCGACTGCTGATGGAGCTCGAGGAGAGCTACACACAGCTGACGACAAAAGGGCTGGAGGAGTTGTACGAGTGCGGGAACCTGGAGTCCAAGGGAGATGAAAAAGTCTTTGACGCACCCACGACGCACATGAACAACCTCAAGCAGGAGGAGCAGCAAGTATCCAAGGATGAGTTGTACGTTGAGTCCTACCGTCTCCTCAATTCACTGACGGATGCGTTGCGGGCGGTGGACGGCGCCTGCCAGCCGCTGTACGAACGCCTCGCGCTGCCGAACCCGTTTTCCACATCGCAGGTGGCCTCGTCGAAGTGGACGGAGATCGCCCATGCGGTTGGCTCCTTTGAGGTGGAGAAGAAGCACCGACGACAGGTGTTTGAGGTGTTTGCGCGGTGGAACAACATGCTGAACAACCCTACTCCCGCTCCTTTGGCCGCACCGTCAGGCGCAGGCGATGATACTGGTGAGTCGGAGTACCGACTCTCTTCCAAGGCACGGCCTGAGGCACATGACTCCTCGGCTCCGTCCACCAAGGACAAGGACACCAATGATAGTATCAGGAAGAAGCGCGCAAAGTTCATCACGCGGAGTGATCTGACGGCGATGGGCGTCAAGGACTGCACACCAGACGAAATCAACGCGCTCTACGCGTATGGCTTTGACATGGCGGCATACCTGCGGCCTGAGTGGACCCCGCCCGGTGAATACGAGATGAGCCTCAAGGTGATTCGCGACATGGTGCACGACGTCACGGAGTCGCTGCGGCACATCACACTGCGCATGGAAGCGCTGTCGAACAGTAGCTTGTTGAAGGAGGCAACGAAGCCGCCGCCGAAGGCGCCCGCGCGCCCCGATGACCCGTGTGAGATCTGCGGTCGGCGCGACAACGTGGCGATGGAGAAGAAGAACAAGGGTGAGATTATGCAGCGCGTGGCGAATGAGATACAGCGGCGCTACGAGGAAATAATGATGAAGTGCCAAAGGGCAGAGGCGGACCGCGAGGCCTACCGCAAGGACCTCCAGCGGTTCCAGATGCGGGAAAAGAAGCAGATGCAGGAGTGGGTGCAGCGGGAGGATGAGCTGAAGCGCGCCAACGCCGCCCTCGCGGAGGACAACCGGCAGATGGCGCAAAACTTGTACATGGTGACGCACGCGCCATCACCGCCCCGCGGCGGATCGCCGCATTCACACTCACCGAAAACTGCATCGGTGAACACAAACGAGACGAGTGACGACGACGACGACGATGAGTACGACAGTGGTGAATGATATGCGGTGCAATGCCTCAGCACATGGGGGTAGTGAATATGTAAAATTTTTTTTTGTTTTACTTGCGACAACGGATTGTGGTAAGCGTTGAGTGAAGGACGAAAATAGCGTGCGCGTCCTCTCTGACTGTTCTTCCGTGATTGAACGCCCTTTTCTGTTGTCGTGTTTCTCTCCTTTGAATTATGTTCTATGCCTCGAGGCGGTTTTCGTCACGCCGCCCACACACACAGAGACACAGAGGCGCAGTCTCCGTGAAGTCGCACCTGGAATGGAACGTCATGTATAGCGCAGTGCGAGGTGTGCAAGGCACCCTGTGTGGATGCGCCTTTTGCTTTTNCCCCCCCCCCTGCCTTGTGCGTGGAGCAGGGAAGGGGAGGGGGGGAAGGGGAGGTGAGGTGCGTTCTTCGTTGTTGTTATCGCGTCTTTCTCTGCTCTTCTTTCGTCTGTCTTCTTCTTGCTGCTGCTGCTGTTTGGGTTCCGTGCTTGCCCTCCCACGCGCCCGCAACTGCGTTTTCCCCCTCCCGCATGGAGTGAGAGAGAAGGAAAACGAAAAGAGCCGTGTGTGGGGAACGCCGAGGCACCACCACCACCGACAGCGAGGGTAGTGACATTTGCAGTAACGACTTGGAGAGAGAGAGAGAGAGAAGTAGCCACCAAGGAAACGACTTGGTAGTGTGGTCAGCGAGTGAGTAAAGACGGCAATGTTCGAAGGGTTTTATATGGGAGGCAACACCCCGCAGGTGGAGCGGATCGAGCAGCTGGTAAATAACGTGAACGTGAAGTTCTCTGCCCTGCAGCGGCAGATTGCGCACTCCCCGCGCAACCTCAGCTTTAACTTACCGGATTCCGGGGCTGAATCCCTGCCGTCTGGAGCACGCTCCCCCGTCCCCTGCGGCCGCGAGGGAAGCATGTCTGCGCCGGGGTTGACTAACTCGCCGCTGCCGCCGCCGTCAGGGTACAGGCCTCACTGGCCAACGTACTGGGGCGAGCGCGAGCTGTACGTTGCGGCATCCGAGTTGTGCCAGCACCTTAATGGCGGCATCGACTACCGTTCTGTTTGCGTGCAGTACCAGCAAACTATGGAGTTGCTGCTGACACTGCTGCGGGAGGACATTGAGATGGCGCGCGCGGTGGACGTGGTTCCGGCCGGCACCCTAGAGAAAGCGTACACTGTCTTCTCGGGTCTCTTCAAGGAGGCGAAGGTGCTCCTCGCGGCGGGCGACAACAACGCGTGGTCGAAGGCGCAGTCTTCACTGGAGCAAGAGTACGCGCTGCCCGCTACGCTGCCAGCTTCAAACGGGGTTCACTGCGAAAGTGTTTGTCAATCTCACGTTGACAATGCCAGCAATAACAACAACAGTAATGCTCCGAGGGGCAGCGAGCGGTGTCCGTCATCGGTGTCAAACAGCGGCATCGGACACGGCAATAGGCATGGCGCTCGTGTGAAGATTACCATAGAAAATGCTGAAGACAAGGGGGAGGTGTACGCGCCACTACGTCTCAATAACTGCCCGGGTAGGTCTGTTAACGAGGACTCTTACGATGTGCCTTCACCGCAACGAGAGGAGGCGGTGACGTTGATGGTGCCTCTCTGCACCCCGGTGAAATCTGACGCCGACGGCGGGTTCACAAAGAGCATCACCTCCAATAGCAAATCGCGCCAGCAGAGCTTGGAGGATGTCTACAACGAGATGTACCTCTACGAAGGGATGGACATGCTGGCGGCGACGATGCGGCTGGTGTTCCTGAAGGAGTTTGATCGGGGCGAAAAGGCGTCTGGGGAGGAGGCGTTTCCTTTGTTCAGGCAGGAGGTTGAAAGGCAGCTCCTCTCAACTCTTGAGAGCTACGAGGCGTTCCAGGCACACACCAGGGAACAAAGCGCACTCCGCTGTGAGTACGTGGTAAACTGCCTGCAGAACCATACCCGACCTAATGAGCGTCTCATGGACTTCCTGGGTGATGTTTCCTCGGACTCTGACGCAACACAATTGTCTCTCATGGCCACACAACTTGATAATAGTGGTATCAAGCCGTTCGCACCGCTGTTGCCGCGGCTCCGCCGCCTCCGCTTCCTTGACATCAGTTACAACAAGGTTGACGACGATGGTGTGCGTGAGCTCTGCGCCGCCCTTGCTAACCACCCCTCGCTGGAGGTGCTTGATATTTCCGGTAATGTTCTCAGCGACACGAGCGGCAACGCGCTGCGGCACCTCGCAGCGAGTGCGCGGCAGCTCAAGGCGATTGGGCAGCAGGGCATTGCATTTAGCCCGCTCGTGCGCGAGGCGCTGGGACGGCAGCTGGAGGAGAACCGGGGTGCCTGCGAAACACCGTGGTCGCCGTCACATATATTCCACGGTGTTGCCGACCTCCATCGTGGCGAGAATGTGAGGCGATCGGCGGGGCTTCGGCTGCCAGCACTTACGACGACGGGTGGCCGACGCGCCCTGTCGGCAACCCCCTCTGCTGTGAGTGACGTCTCGTTGCGCAACACGTACACATCAGTAGTGCCTCGCAGCGTGGGTATGTTGCAGCGCGTGCGATTGCCTTACCTGACGGCGATGCGTCGTAGTGCGTCGAACTCGCGGCGCAGTAGCGGTAACAGCGGCACCCTTCGCTGAGCCATAAGTGTGGAGGGAGGGTGGCTTGTGTGGTTGCAGAGTGTATTCTGGGCCTTTCTTGCCCAGGAGTCTGATAGGGAAAAGCTGCAGTGCAGCAATGTAATTGCAATGGAAATGAGAGGAAGCTAAGCAAGACGGGAACAAAAAGGTGCTTGTGAATAGGGTTAAGATTCCACCCGAGGAAGAGTGCAGATGCGATTGGGAAGCAGAATGATTGGAGGCGTATGTGAAAAGAATGGGGCGAATGCAGCATTGCACGAGTGGTAAAAGTCGCTTTATTTACTTCCCCGTGTATATGCAGATGCAGGGCTCTCATGCGCAAAGATATATNTGCGGCTATGGGGCTGATGTTCCTTTGTGCTGCACAATCATCGCCGCATTGTATGATTTGCGGGCATGTGCCCATATTTCGGCTACTTGGCAAGCTGTTATGAACTGCAGACGTGAAGCTGGATGGAAGTTAGCAACAAGAAAGAGGCCTACAATTTTTTCATTTTGAATGGCACTTGACATGAGGGGGGAAGCGATGTTTGTCTGTACCTGGGAGTAGATGCCCCCCTGCTTCTGTATGCATGCATGCATGTATGTATTTATATGCGTATCTTTATATATATATATATATATATATATATATATATCTTCCACGCNTATGCGTATCTTTATATATATATATATATATATATATATATATAACTTCAACGCCTTTCGGTGCAACACCTCGTAGACTTGAAGCACTGCAAGTTCTGTAGCCGTCATTTTAGAAAGCCGTGTTGTTTTTGTGTCTGTGTGAGTGTATTTCTCTTTGGGTGGAGCATTCTGCAGGACATGTGCAAACTGAGGGGAGGGACGAATGTATACGTTTTAGGAACAGAATCTCGCCCTCGCCGCTCTGTATCCGGTGAGGGGCAGAGTTTTTCTTCCTTCGCAAACGCGGAAAACGAAGGTGCAAGATGCAGGCGTTGTGAAGGATAAGAGAAGGGTGCGTGAGAGATATGGCCTCTCCTCGTGTGGGTGATTTGCTCTACTATTGTTGCCTCTGTATCTGTCTATTGAGTGATACCTCATCACTTATTCCTGTCAGGTCGTTTTTCACGCCCTCCCCCCCCCTCTACACTTCGGAGGGAGGAGGGCGTCGCGAAGGCGTCTCCACCAAAGGAAAGTGTTTACGAAGCAAAATTTGGATCGTGACTTGCTGGGTGTCCGCACACTCTCGTCATTGTGCTATTCGTATAGCACGGCCGGTGTTATAATTGCTATTGTTTTTGTTCTTTGTTTTCTCTTTTATTTTTTTTTGTTTATTTGCTTCTGGGGTGGGTGGTGGGGAGGGGCAAAGGGCCAGCTCTTCTTTGCGCTCTATTTGTACATATTCCGAAGCGAGGATTTTTGTCACACATGCCGAAAGCTGCTGCTGCTGCTGATGCAGCTGCCTCCTCATCATCGACGGTGAAGCGGCGCTATGCGGCCAAAGTGGAGAAAGGCGAAAACGCGTGGCGCCGCGAGTGGTCAGGCTTTATGTCCGGTGTGAGTCTCAAGGAGCTGCGGAAGGGCGGCGGCGTCGTTCTCCCAAAGGCCGCAGACTTGGAGGCGGCGGTGGAGACGGCCGAGGGCGATGGCGGGGGCTGCAACTATGCGTACCTGTTTGCGTCCCCTACGGAGAAGAAAGCGGAGCGTCTCGCCAAGCAGAGAGCGGAGGATGAGAAGCGGAAGCAGCGCGCCCTTCAAACACAGCAGGCGAAGGACCCACTGGCGCACTTGAGCAAACATGAGCGGGCGCTGTGGGAGGCGCAGCATCGCGGTCTGAAGGTAGACGGCATGACGCGGAAGGAGGTGAGACAGTTCCTACACCTCACCGTCTCGAAGGAGCAGGAGGAGGCGGAGCGGCACCAGGAAGAATTCCGCCCGCACGAGCTCATGGACGCGAAGCTGCAGTGGTACCAGCAGGGCCCTCACCCGATCGACATCATCGCTGAGAAGCTCGTCACACGTAAGGCGGCAAAGAAAGGAAAGCAGCTGGGGCTGCGGTATAACTACCTGATGCCACACCCTTCGTGGCTCGCAAGACGGGAGCAGCGGCGTCGTGAGCGTGTTTTGGTTGGCCTGGGCCGCCGTTACGTATTCGATGATGATGGACGCATGCGGGACGTTTTCGGCGCGCCGGCGGGCATTGCGCCTCCGGCTGAACACATGACTCATAGCAGCAGTGACAGCAGCAAGGTCACGGAGGCGGTAGGGGATAAAGAAGACGCAGAAGGAGGTGTACAGATAGGAGCAGCGCAGCGAGAAGAGAATTTTGGCATACCGTCCATCACGGCGGCACCGATAATAGGCTCCGACGTTCTTCTAGACCCGCGACAGGCATGCACGTCTTTTGTGCGCGCTGTAGTTCGGGACCGCAAGGTGGCCGCTGCCATTAAAACGGCGAACATCACCACTTCGTACATCAGCAGCTCACTTGTGATGGGACCGAGCATTGGTGTAGAGGAAGAAGGCGCTGCTCCTTCTGCTGCTGCATTGCCGAAGCGAGGACGAGAAGCCCATGTTCAGCGAGCGAAGACCGCACAGAGGCGACCACGGACAGCGTCATTCGAACCGTAGTTGTATGGGATGAGCCGGGCGAATTCTGCTACCTCAATACTCGTGTGTGTCTCTCTCTTTGTGTGCGTGTGTGTGTGTCTCCGAGAGAGCGAGAGAGGGGGGGGGGAAGAAAAGTGGGGTAAAGAGTCGAGTAACAGGAGCATGCTGTGAATCCTGCACGCTATGTGTTACGCCTCACATTGAGGGCTTTTTTTTTTCTTTCGTCTGTGCTCCCTGATTTTAACCGATTTGTGTGCTGTCATTGTCATTTGTTGGTGCTTGCTGCTGCTGCCGCTGTAGCTTTGGTTTGCAAGAGCAGGGGCTCAAAGGCGGGAGCAACAACAGAAAAGAAGAAGTATGTCCCCGACCGATCCCCGGGAGTGGGCGAAGAAGGTGCGCTCTAAGACGCCCGTCCTGCTGGAAGTGGGAAAACCGGCGCCCAAGGCAGTATTAAGCTTTGGTGGGTGTGGCTTTCTCGTAACGTACGCGCTCGGTGTCGCGCTGTACCTGCAGCAGGAAAAGGCGGAGTTCTTGTCGCAGTCGTACCTGTTGGGGGCGGGAGCAGGTGTCATCCCAGCCGTGGCGCTCGCCTGTGGGCCGCGTGCTGTCAACATTGAGAAGGTGCGTGACGCCATCGTCGATAACCGCTTTCTCGTGACGGATGAAGAGAAGCGTCTGGAGGCTTTCACAAAGTACATCAATCAGCTGCTCCCGCGCAACGCGGTGGAGCTTGTCAGGGGCCGCCTTGCCCTCACCATTGGCTTCTCCAACAGGGACTCGGGCTACATGGCGCAGACGAAGGAGCACGTGCACTTTGGGCATCACATTGCGGAGTGGGAAGACGTGAACGATCTGGCACAGTGTATCATGGCCGCCACAGCGCCAAACACTGAGAAGCCAATGGTATTTCGTGACGCTGACAACGTGATGCGTGGTACGATGATGTCGCTTAGCAGTGAGCTCGACCAGTACTGCCGCCATATATACATTCATGGTTACGCGGGGTACCGCTACAACAAGCACCAGACGCGGCACAATATTTTCTTTGGTCGTCACGGCTTTCTGCCCAACACTCATTTCCCCTACTGGCGGCAAGTCTGGCTGGCGTTCGCTCCGAACATTGGTGGGTCGGCAAGGAAGGACGAGCTGCTAGAGGCATACGACGCGGGGTACAACGATGCGCGTCGCTACGAGCGCTGGGAGGAGGACCCCTATCATTTTGCCAAGGCCGACCGCTCGCCAAATGATGACTTAAACTTTCGGCAACTTCGCGCCAATTTGTTTGGTGGCAAGAAGGCCGCTGAACGCTTCGAGCTGTGAGAGAGGTGGGGTGGTGGGGGCGGAAGGCTGGTGTGGACTTGGCGTTTTCTATCTATGTCTCTGTGTAGTAGCGTTACTTAGTTGCGCTCAGCTTGTCCCTGTGGGAAGGGATATTTGTATGGGTGGGGGTGAAGATGTGTGTTTAGCTGTGTATGTGCTCCCTCATAATGTGTGCATTGCTTTGTTTACCCTTGGTTGAGGCGGTAGTGAAGGTGCGAAGAGGCGGGTGTCCTACACGAGAGAGTAGTCATACATTCCTTTACACAGACAGGCATAGAGAAGGACAAGAAATGTTCAAGCATAGAGACAACATCGCCCATTCACCCTTCACCACCGACCCACAGGGGAGTGGAATGACGATGAAGGCGGTGCGATTTGGTCAGGAACAACAACAACAGCAGCAGCACCAGATGGCCGGAAACAAAAATGGCGCACCAGAAGCTGCGGGGAAAAAACGGCCCCGTGACATCCGCGGAATCGAGCGATTCAGACAAGTGATCTACGGAGAAAAGGGCCTGCCCCGTTTCCACGCGATGGTCGCACGCAACCCGACGCTCATGTACCCGCCCGATGGAATAGACGCTGAACGAGCGAGAATACAGAAGAAGCGTGAGGAGGATGTGCTGGTCACATTACAGGAGAAGCAGCAACAACAACAGCAGCAGTCCCAAGAGAGCCACCCACATCCCGGGGAAGTGGATACGGCCTTGTGGGCGATGTTTGAAGAGCGTCGGGCCGCCGAAGAAGAAGGAGAAAAAAACACCGCTGCTCGAACCGAAGGTGCGGTGGCTGGTGCCAAATCCTCGCCCCAGAACGCCANCGCCGAAGAAGAAGGAGAAAAAAACACCGCTGCTCGAACCGAAGGTGCGGTGGCTGGTGCCAAATCCTCGCCCCAGAACGCCACTTCGGGTGATGCCACCTCGCCCCCTTTTGAAGGTGTTGTTGCTGCAGCCCACGGAGACATGAGTGCTGAGCACCTGGCAAACTACCACCACCGACAGCTGGACGCCCTGATGGGGCTCTACTATGAATTCAACCATCTCACATTCATGAAGCTACCTATGAGTGACACTCTGCAGTTGCTCCAACGGTGTGGCAAGGAGGCGGTGGCGCATTGTTTGGAGTTTGAGATGCAGTTGCGTATGCGTCGCGAGACGCGTCTGAAGGAGTTGGGCGCTGTGGCGGAGAACGAGATGCAGTTAAAGCAGCGCGAACTGGAGGCGCAGACAAAACTGCTGGAGATGCAGATGCAGGTGGCAGAAGAGGTGCAGGTCACTCTGGATGATTTGGATGAGGAAGGTGCACTGTAGTTTGTTGTCGCTTTTTGTTGTTGTTGTTGCTACTGTTTCTGAAGTGTTAACGGTTGACTATTCCCTTCACTCAGTTATTCCGTGCGGTGTACGAGTCTTCTCTCGCGCCTTTTCTTGCTGTCGCACTCCCCCTACTCTGTTTGTTATATATATATATATATAAAGCAGCGGCGGCAGAGGACGTGCTAGATAGGACCTCACAGCATGAGCGGTGGCTTTCCACCCTATGAGGCGCCTGATCTCTTTGACGCCGATGGTGTGGCACTCGTAGTCGAAGAAGAACATCAGCAGGAGTGGTTCGGTAGCTCCTCTATGGCCAACAACAACAACGCAGAAGAAATGGAAGTTGAAGGAGAGGCTGGTGGCTATGATGGCCAAGACAATAGTAATGGAGGCGGTGTTGATTTTGATTTGGGCTTGTTGTGCCAATCATACGTGCAGTTGCAACGTGCAGCAGAAGCATACCTCCGAACAGGCCATGCTGCTTTGACGCGGCTGCAGCAGAAGCGCCAGAGAGAAGAGCAGTATGAACGCTCACTGCGTTGTCGAGCGGAGTTTATTGCATCCACCGCATTATCGCCGAACATCAAGCTGAACATCGGTGGTATGCGCTTTCACGTGCAACGTGACACTCTCTTGCAGTTTTCCAAGTACTCCATGACGCTTTTTGACTTTCTCGATGGTGAGAAGTTTATAGTGCAGAAAGATGAATTTGGTTACGTCTTTGTGGATCGTGACCCGTGGCTGTTCCGTGAGCTTCTCTTCCTGCTGCGTGAGCGGCGGGAGCGGATAGCGATGGTTGGACAAGGTCCGCCGCTGTTGCAGGGCGGTGTGGAGTATGAACGGCTCGCGCGGCTGCCGCTGGCTGAGCAAAAGCGGGTCATGGAGGAGGCGCGGTACTATGGACTCAATGAGTTAGTCGCGGAGCTGCAAGTGAAGCGGCACCAGTGGCAAAAGTGTGTGTTCATGCCAGCATCTGCTGTTGGTTGTGCAACTAGTGGTGATGTTATTAGTCATAGTAGTCTAGATGGAGACGTCCTATTGCACCGTGGTGAGGAGGGTTGGCTGCGGCCACCAGAGGCCTGCTGCTTCGCCGCGTGTGTGCGTCTACATGATAGTGTGTACCTCTTTGGGGGGTGTGGAGAGCAGGAGGTGATTATTGATTCCTTATACCGACTCCAGCTCGATCGCAACAGTTCGGAGGAGTGTAGTGAGACACAGCAAGAACATGAAGAAGGACAGGCCAACAGTGGCTTGGGTGCCGCGAGTATTCAGTGTGTTCGATTCGATAAGATGGAACCGTTTGTCGATGATGTGGGGCAAACAACACCAGCTGTACCTGGTGCGCGTTCAGGGCACGCAATGGTGACTTTTCAAGGAAGGTATCTTCTGCTGTTCTACGGTAATAATCTTTCCTCTCACCTGAAGGATGTATGGGTGTACCACGCCGCGCGTAATGTCTGGTCGCCTGTGAAGCTACGTGGATCCCCTGTGGAGCCACGCTCTGGTCACACAGTAACGGTTGTACGCGATCGCCTGTACCTCATTGGCGGCAAAACCCTCTTTGGATCGATGAGGCGTCTCCTTGCGGAGGTCTTCGAAGGGCGCTTTGACGCGGGGCGGCAGGAGCTCACATGGCGCCTCGTATCATGGCAGCAGCAGCAACAACAGCCGTCATCGTACATGAGCCGATTCGCGGTGGCTGAGAGTGATGATGAGGAAGGGGAGGGACCCTGCAGCCTCCCACCAACGGCGTATCATAGCTCTGTGGAGTACGGTGGGCGTTACGTGATCCTGTTTGGGGGACTCCGTGAGCCTCCCAACAGACACCGCGACGGTAGGGAGGGACAGCGGAACAGTATGACACCCGGTGCTGCTGCTGCTGATATTTCTGCTACGCCAACGGAAGGTGGGGTGCCGCTTTGTGTGTACAAATTCGATACGCTTGAATGTACGTGGTGTCGCCTGTGCACTTCGTTAGACTCGTCAAGCCTCGCGTGGTCAGACATTCCGAAATCTGGCCATATCGCTGTAAGATGTCATAGTGATATGTATGTGATGGGTTCATATGCATTGCAGCAACAGCAAGAGCTGAGTCTGCTCCAATTGTCACTACAGTCGCTTGTCTGGCGACGGATACAAACAACAGTGGCGCCAACGCAAAGTCCCCCATGCGGGAGGGCGGCGCCTTGTGGTGTGTTGTTGCCATCGTCAGCCTACAGTCTGCGTCCTGTGATTCTGTTGTACGGTGGATATAACGTGGAGTTGAGACAATACTTTAATGATGCCTACATCGTCACTTTGTGAGAGGCGAAATAGCTCCAGGCGTTACACTGCTGATGGTGTGTGTAATGTGCATGGTTGGAGGGGGAAGATATTCTATTGCGTCTGTTATATGTGGTGTTGCTGCTTGGCTTGTTCTGTAGATGAAATGCGATGTTGGGAGTGAGGGGAAAAAAGAAAATGGGTGTTGTGTATTCTGGTAGATGTCGATTTCTGGTCAGCTATTGCTTTGGGCGGTTTGTCAGTTACTTTCACGTCGGTCTGCTTCGTAATCCCCTAAGTTGTTATAGAATGGCGTCTAACGGTAGCATTTTTCTCTATATAACTGGAGGGTGGACCTTGTGGGTTCCAGGGCACACACCAGCGCCAGGGGAAAACGGGCCTGTGCACATCCTGAACTTCGTCTCCCCACGCGAGCTCTCTCGTTCTTTTTACCTGTTTGATATGCCCATTCAGCTGGTAAACGACTCCAGAGCAGCAGCGATGATTCCTGGGGGAAAGACACCTGAGGAAGTAGTTGCTGCTGTGGAGGAACTGCGTCGGGTATGCGCGAATGATCAAAGCATTCTTATTGGGCGATGCTATGATCCCAACAAGCCGCCACCACGGCATCAACAGCCGCAATACTCGAATGCTTCAGGGGTGGGAGGAGATGCTTTCGCCATGTCCCAGACCTCATCCCAAAATGTTGCAGGCGCAAACCCGAATCAGGCCCTTTTTCTGCAGCTTCTCCAGCAACAGCAGTGTGGGGCAATGTCATCGCAAGTCTCTCCGCTCCGTCAGCCGCCTCCAATGGCGTTCAATCATGGCGCCATGATGGGTGGTGTAACTGCGGGTGCTTTTGTGGGAAATATGATGAACGGCGCTGGAATGATGTCTGCTGCCCCCCAACTTGGGTTCGGTAGTGGCAATTACTTCAATCCTATGATGCCGATAGGGCGCGGTGCGGGACTAATGCCGGCGCCCAACGCATACGGTGCTGCACCATCGAGGAGAGCGGCACCGCCGATGATGGGGGGTCGAGGTGGCGGCAGGGGGTTTCCGTCCCACAGTCCATTTCAAGCGCCAGCGCGGGACCAGCCGGAGCCTCTGCCGGACCTTCCACCCATCCCACCGGAAATTCTCGAGATATATATGAACCCGCAGCAGAAACTTATGTGCTCAACTATGCCGGGAGCACGCATCACGGCTTGGTTGCGCGAGCACGAGATTCCCACCGAGACGAAAAACCCAAGGTATGTGTTCTGTAAGGGCGGTATTGTGTTAATGCTCAAGACAGTAGGGGAGGAAGTGGCGAACAGCAAGCCGGTGGAGCTTTTTGATCAGCAACTCTGTGCACATTTCCTAATTCACAATTACTGCTCGCGCAGTAATTGTCTCCACCGGCACCACACTGAGGTACAGCTGCGGCAGCTCATCGCCGCGAAGCACGTGGAACTGAGGTCCATGACAAAGAAGGAACGTCACCGTCTCAGCGAGGAGGTGCTGGCGAAGGAAAGGGAAGGCCGCGCGCGTGCAGACGAAGAGCGTGACCAGCGTAAGGAGCGCATGGAAGGCAAGAGGCGGCGTGAGGGCGGTGTAGGGAGTGGTGATGCTGTTCATTCTGCTCCTGTTGCAGCTGCTGGTATTAGTGGTGGTGTGCTGTCATCCACTGGTTTCTCGCGGCCGCCGCTCTCACACGTCGATGTTGGTAGCTCAGATGAAGAAAAGGACTCTGACAAAAAGTCAAAAGAATCACGCGATGAACAGCTCACTAACGAGGAGAGGGGTGGGAGTCACGAGGAGAAACAGTCAAAACAACAGCAACGGCAGGTGGTGCAGAAGTCGGTGGCGTCACGGCGAGGTGGGCCGATCCCGTCCCGTCGTGTGGTGAACCCAGCTGACATCGGTGTCACCGACAGCGACAGCGACAGTGACAGTGACAGTGACGGCGAGAACTCGTCCACGTCGTCATCATCTGCAAGTCCATCCGAACCTGCGGTATCAGATACCGCCAAGAAAGCCACCGATGCGAAGATCGGCACTCCCAAGGACACGGATGGGGAGGTAAAAGTGAAGGAATGCGTGGAGCCCACGGCAGAAGCGGAGAAAGAAGCGTTGATGGAGCCCACGGCAGAAGCGGAGAAAGAAGCGTTGATGGAGCCCACGGCAGAAGCGGAGAAAGAAGCGTTGATGGAGCCCACGGCAGAAGCGGAGAAAGAAGCGTTGATGGAGCCCACAGCAGAAGCAGAAGAAGGTGCATCCATGGGGCAGGAGACGTCTCATCAGCTGGAGCTGATAGAGAAGAACACAGGCGAGGGCGGGGGCACAGAAGCAAAGCTTCCGCCGCAGGATGAGGGGGAGAATAAGCAGCAAACAACAATGACGGCAGAGGCGAGCGAAAAGCCTGGCGAAGAGCAAGCACAGGGGGCGATCGCCCCGGAGGATCCAGTGGATGACGACGATAGTAAGAAAAAGAGAAAAACGAAGAAAAAGGGTCCTGTCGCAAAGCGGCCGCATTCTGGTGGGGCGAAAACTTCTTCTGCCAAGGCCAAGCAATCAAAGAAGTGAGAGTAAAGGTACAAGGACGCCACACTAAGAGCAGCTGTGCCCACTCTGGTTTTGTGTGTTGCTGTTGTGGTGGTGGTGGTGGTGTGACGCAATGTTTGCCCCGGCCAGCCGTGCAGCAGGTGTGATGTTCCTGCGTGGGGAGGGGAGGGACAGTGGGCCGGGTGCCACCACATCACACACACACACAGAAGCCGTGAGAGTGAAATAAGGGCGTTCATACAACCACACACACACACACACACACACATACATACACACACAAAGAGAGACAGGGAAAGAGATATCATATATAATGAACGAAAGCGAAAGAGAGAGAATTGCACACAGTAACGAGAGCTTGGGACGATGATTAAAACGAAGAGTGCGTGAGTAAAATAGCGGAGACATGCACAAATGCATACACTGACGCTGAAGGAGCGTCGAATAGAAATACACAGGGGATTTTTTTTCTTTAAAAAGCCAAGAAAATAAAAGGCTCACACATACTTTTCTTTCTCTTCTTATCGTGGAGATGACTCTGTACGTTGCTCTCTTCTTTTTCCTACCCGCGCGGGAATTGCCTGTTGATCGAATGAGCAGGAAGAGGCGTGCAAATGACCGGAGAGGGAGAACAAAGGCCCCCTGTGTGCCACACGACCGTATATGGTGCTACACACGCGCATCGACGGACTGCCTCTACAGCGTGTGAAGGTCAAAGTGTGTGCACTGTCACACTTCTACGGAGACACGGATATTGTTTGCTTGAGCACGCAACGCTCCAATAGCTGCACAGTTTTTTTTTGTTTACGGCTTGGTCGTTCATTCCACACACAATCACACACCACCATCACCAACAACAACAACAACAACAACACACCGCAACAAACACGAATACACAAGCAGAGGGAGTGGGTCCCCAACACTCTGTGTCTAGTTGATTAAGTCAAGTGTGTAGTAGTAGGAAGTCCTCATTGCCTTCTTGGTTCGTCGACTGGCACAGTAAATGGCTGCGCGGCCATTTGGGTAGTTTATCCATAGTCTTTTAAAGTATTTCTTGAATGTTCGTTCCCCACCACAATTCTCCCTTCTGCTTCTGTGTTGCATCTCTTCCCTGGCGGAGACTTTTTTTGGGAATTGTTTTCTATACAGCGCCTGGATGCGGCACCGCCGAATATCCAGACGCCATTTTCCTTACAGCGTGCGGTCCGACGTGTGTCACCCACCAGTAGGGGAACTAGGTGGGTGGGTGTGCATGGCTGCTGTCTCCGCCGCAGCACTCGCCGTCTCTGTTGTTGGGGCAACGTGGTACTCACGTATTTAAAAGCGTGTGCATATATGTCTCTGTATATGCGTATGTGTCTTGTAGCGTTTTGCTCGGTTGGTTTGTACCTCCCTCTGCTCTCTCTCTCTCTCACACACACCCCTCCTTTCCCTACACGCACGTATCTGACGCGTTCACGTGGCATGGAAACGTAGTTACTGGTAGTCATAGTTCTGCCGCATCGCCTGAAGTAGTGCACACGGAACACATGTACCGCCGCGTCACTAGCATTGCGGTGACCGCCGCGGCGGTAGCCACGCAGGCGCGTCGTATTTCAGAATACAAGTTTGGTCAAGCGCCACTGTCGATGGTGTGGAATGGCTCCACACGCATGACGCCAGCAGGAGAAACAGCAGCAAGGGCTGCGACAAGGTCTGACTGTAAAGTGAAGGTGTCGCAGCTGCACAACGGTGCACGTGTGATTACGCAGCATCTTGACGGAGCGGTGGTGTCTGTTGGTGCTTACATCCTCGCGGGACCAGTGTACGATCCTATTGGCTGCCCAGGTGTGCACCACATGCTGCATCTCGCGCTGACGACGAGTAACTACAACAACTCTCTCTTCCAGCTTGACCGCAGCATCCGCAGTACAGGCGCCGCATTTTCGCACTTTGAAAAGGACAAGCACTACATTGGTCTTCGCCTTGACGCCCGCGTTGACATGTGGAAGAGCCAAAGAGACGGCAAGAAGGGCAATCGCGATCACTTCAATCTAAACCTCGTGCAGGATACCATCTTCACGGCGCTCGCCGCCCCGCGGTTTCACGAGGCTGACATTGAACGCTTCCGTGACACCATCGACAACAATTTAAAGGAACTGCGGTGGCAGCACCCTGCGCAGTACGCAATTCAGCGGCTGGAGACAGTGGCTTTCTACAAGGAGCCGCTCGGAAACCCGCGGCACGTGCCGGAGAACAACAACGGTCACATCACCAGTAAGGTGCTCCTGGATCAGTACGCCAAGTACGTGACACCTGAACGTATTGTCATTGCTGGTGTGAACGTTGACCATGGTGAGCTCATCGCGGAGTATGAAAACACACCTTTCCCGCATTCCAGCAGTGCCCCACACCACGCCGCTTTCGCAGCGCAGAGCAGCTCACCTGTCTTTGACGTGAGCAGTGAGCGGCTGCAGTACACGGGTGGTGAGCGTCATGACCACGAAAACCGCCCCAAGGAGATGGGTACGAAGCCCGATATGGACAATGAAACAATTGTTGCCGTTGGTTACCTTTCGTTTGGTCGCGCAAAGGTGTCTATCAAGCAGTACGCCGCCAGTCTGGTGTACCAGCAGCTTTACAACATCGCCATTCAGGACGGCGTGCGCTACGAGAGGAGCGGGTCAAGCGAAGGAGTGCGCTCCTTCTACCTACCGTACCAGAGCGCCGGCCTCATTGGCTTCACGGCACGGGCAGAACCTGGGGACATTGTGAAGATGACAACAACAGCAATGCGGAACATGCAGTCTCTCAAGATTGACGACACAGCAGCAGTGGAGACGGCGAAGCATCGTGCTGCAGTGGAGGCGAACAGCCAGAACTGGGATACGATTCGCGACCTCTGCGACTACATGGGCACTAGCCTCTCGCTCTCGGCGAAGGGGCCGAACGCTACGCAGTACACAAGTCCCGAGGAGGTGCTCGACGCCATCCGCGCCGTGACGCCGGAAGATCTTAAGCAGGTGAAGGAGTGCGCCATGGGTTCAAAGCCATCCCTGTATGGGCATGGCGAGATATTAACATTCCCGTCTCTACGGCAGTTGGGCTTCTGAGTTGCGGGTTGACACGTATTGCGGTGTAGGATTGAATAGGAAGGAATAGTAGATGAATGACAGGGGAGGGAATGGTCTTGGGGGTGTGGATGATACGTATGGTCGGGCTGATACAAGCCTCAGGTGTCACACACGCAAGCGGAGAGCAGGGCTACAGGCTCGCCAAAGTGGATGCACGCAATACAAGAGAGCAATGAGAGTAGGTGATTGACGTGGTGGGTTTTTTTTTTGGGGGGGGG